AACAACAGTAAATAAATAGTGTTTTGTATATACAGTTTGGGTTATTGCACAGTGGTGTAACTGTTATTGGTGCATGTGTGAGTTCAGGGTGGTCATGGCTTTAGAGAAGAAACTGTTTGAGTCTGTGGGTTTTTGTACTGATGCACCTGTAGCACTTCCCTGAGGAAGCAGGCTGAACATGTTGGGAAAACCCGAATGCTTTTGTCCACAGTCACATTTGCAATAGAGAACTTGATATAGTCCAGTACTGATCCTGTGAAAGGTTTTAGCTCCTGGAGTTCAAATATGTCCCAGTCTGTCTGTGTGAAGCAGTCCTGTAGTTTTCAGGTTGTAACAGTCTTTGTGGTGGGCACTGCGTCTGAGGGGGGAGTAGGCTGGGGAGAGCAGGAGGGAGAGGTGGTTGGACTGGTCGAAGTGGGAGAGGGGTATGGCTCGATGTTGGAGTAAACACGATGTAGAGAGATCTCTCCCCTGGTTGGACATTTCACATGCTGATGGATCTTTGGGAGTAGTCTTCATGCTGGCCTTATTAAAATCACCTGCAATTACGTGAACACCGTCCCGCTGCTGTTCGTTAATGGTGTTCAGTAGCATAGAGAGCTCCGTGTTTACTGATAGAAACCGATAGTGCAAAAAGAAATGAGAAGGATGTACAAACTAAGCAACTAAACAAAAGAAAAGAGTGCTGAGACAGAGAGCTGTAAGCTGCTGCAACAGTGTGCGGCGCCATCTTGAGTGGTGTAGTAACAAAGTGCTCTGAGGGTCCAGACAGTAAAAAGGCTGCATCAGTACCATGTAAGACTTGATGTTGTACCAGGCTGCTGTTTTCATCCTCCTGACACTCTGATTTCAGAACAGATGTCAGCTAGTTCATCAGAAGGAAGATGATTGGATGAATTCTTCTTTGGCAGTTTTGAAGCGATCACGACAAGGAGGACAAGAAGTAACAAACCAGAAGCTACCAGCCCATAATGTCTGTTGACTTTATCCTGCTTCCCTCCATCCTCCTTCCCTCCATCCTCCTTCCCTCCATCCTCCTTCCCTCCATCCTCCTTCCCTCCTTCCTCCTTCCCTCCTTCCTCCTTCCCTCCATCCTCTGTGTGTCCTCCTGTCTGACCTGCAGGTGAGAAACAGGTGTGAGGTATCAGCTGTCAAGTAGGTGATGAGTGAAGAACAGAACAGAATCCATTTCCTCTTCAAACTGCTGTCAGACATTATCTACTG